GAGCAAGCGGATTACCACCGGGAACAAAAGCTCTCCACCACCGCAGCAATGAGCCACACAGCACTGCTGCATGCTAATCTGGCCCCTATTGAAAAGAGGTCAGCAGTGCACTGAGCCAGGTTCGTGAACAAAAGACAGTTGTATAACACCGCACTATCTGAGCTCTGTTTACAAGGCTGCAGGCCTGGCTGAAATATTCGGGCGTCAATGAAGGTCACCTGTCAACTTAGACTGAAGATTACTCTGTGTGGCTATAAACGACTGTTAAATGGAATGATGAATTGTTGAAGGATTTTGAAAACGGAAAAAATGATAGTCATGCCGGCCCAGCTTTCTCAACATTGCAAAATGCCCCGGCACGAAGTGGTTAACCAGTGTGAAGCTCCATCAGTCAAACTGTTCTTCTTAAGGGCCTTAGGGGAGAAGATAGTGTTTAGAGGTTGGAGGAAAATTCATGACAGATATTCTGGGGCAAGGGGGAGAGCCCAATCCCCATGTCAACCCTGGTGGGATTTGAAACCCAGGTTACAAAGGTCAAAGGTAGGGAAAGCAGGGTTCCAGCAGCCTGGAAAATGCATGAAAGAGTCACGGAAATTTGTTTTTATTTTCCAGGCCAGGAAAAGTCATGGAATTTTGTAAAAATGACTAAAGGTCATGGAATTTTTCAAACTCTGTGTGTGATTTCTGTTCTCAGAAATAAGCGCAAAAAATGTGTGATTGTACTTGCAACTTACAAGGCCAAATGGTCCAAGAAATTGCGTCATTGGGTCATGGATTTTTATAATTTGGTCATGGAAAAGTCATGGAATTTAATTGTCCTTTAGGCACAGGAACCCTGGGAAAGTACATGTACCACTACCCCAATCTGACTCCTCAGTTTCAAAGCAGCATATAAACTAGTTGATAAATGTTCCCAAGTTTTCTTTGGATCATTTGAAATACAGGACGGAAAGTAAGCAGTGAAGGATTGACTCTATCATCCACAGAAGCAATATTGTTGACATTTTTTTTGTTGGTAATCCTGTTCATTTAGGGCCACCTGTTCTTTGTGATGGAGTACTTGAATGGTGGAGATCTGATGTTCCACATCCAGTCATCCCTAAGATTTGAAGAAAGAAGAGCAAGGTATTCTTCTGGTGACATCTGTTTTGAATAAATAGATCCTAAAGATGTTTATGACACTGTGCTCATAATAAACTCCTCTAGTGCAGAATAACAAATTGTATTCATATCACAGAAAACCCACAATAATTGCCTTGTTAGATTCTATGCGGCAGAGATCATCTGCGGCCTGCAGTTCCTTCATCGCCGTGGCATCGTCTATCGTGATCTCAAGCTGGACAACGTGCTGCTGGACTTCGAGGGCCACATCAAGATAGCAGACTTCGGCATGTGTAAGCAGAACATCAGTCTGGAGAACAAAGCCTCGACGTTCTGCGGCACTCCCGACTACATCGCACCAGAGGTAATAAACAGTCTTTGCCAACTCCAGATTTCCCTGGGAAATGTCGATAATTCAGTTTGGGTCCCAATGGGAGACTTTGAGACACTTAGTGGCGGCAGACACAACGGTACTGTTTGGTTGATGTGGGCATGGGCGTGCAGTTTTAGGCATGCGTGTTCTGAGCACGTTCACAACTGCGAAAAAGGACCGGTTTGTCTGCCGCCACCATGCGTCTCAAAGTGTCCCATCGGAAACTTATGCAAGTCCGTTTGGAACCCTCTGAAAAGTTTCAAGTATAGACAATAGGAAAGCAAAGGATATCCATAATTGCAGTTATTGGCGTGTATGTGTTTGAGTGGTGATGGATGGTTGTACACTTATTTTCAGCCTTGAATGTCTTCTCTCTGTGGTGCTATCTGTGCATGTGGAATGGAAGCAGAGGAACGACGAAGGATTTATTTTGGATTGTTGTGGAAGTGCTAAATGCACGCCTTCAGTTTTTGTGTGTACACACTCATGTATAAGGTGAAATGTGTGTCCCTCACTGCACTGTCAGGAGCAAGTCACACAGTGGCCTCAGCAGCTTTTGTGCAGACTCATTGTGGGCTGCAGTATTTGGCCTTTGTAACTCTCGCTAGCTTCAAGTGTGTCTATACTTCTGCGTCTGTCCTCAAAGAGCTAGTTCAGTATTCAAATTGCACTTGCCCAAGAGGAAGTGCGTCCGAGATCTGCCCTATCAGCATGTCTGTACACTCCATACACGTGCTTCATTCTCAAATCACCTTGCCATTTTGAAATACCAAACTAGCTTTTTGTAACCATTTTCTCAAAGTTTCTAACCTGTTAAATATCTCTTTTTTTCCCACAGATCCTGAACAGCCAGAAATATAGTTTCTCTGTAGACTGGTGGTCTTTTGGTGTGCTGCTGTACGAGATGCTGATAGGTCAGTCGCCTTTTCATGGCGATGACGAGGAGCTTCTCTTTGATTCCATCCTCCATGACACGCCCCACTACCCGCGGTGGCTGTCCAGTGAAGCCAAGTCCTGCGTATCAAGTGTAAGTGTTGACCAATTGCGTGCAGTCATATCTGTGCCGACCTAGAGAACCATACATTTGTAAGGAACTCATAACAAGTAAGCTCATAGTTTTATCTGTAGTTGGTTTTTGCATACTTCCCTGTTGAAAAAAATTCATAAGGAGTTGCATGATTTGACTTGCCATTTACGAATTTTCTTAGGTGAAGTGGGCTGAAGTCTGGACCGGCATTATGAAGATTTAAAATGAGAAACTTATCCAATATTCACTGTACTGCTTTAAAGGGCTCAACCTGGTACCCACTGTACCGTCTTAGCACTATGTGTTGTTGTTGATTCAAAAGTGTGTAATTTCAGGGCAGTGCAGAAGTTAATGGTGTCAACTATTTCCCGTTGGGGCTAAGACCTCAGAACAGATTCTGAATCACCACTTACATGACTTACAGCTGGGTACCTGTTACAACTCCCAAAGTTTATTCTGTCTGATTGACATATCTGGATGTTCAGAAATTCCATTTATGCCTGACTCATTTGTTCCTCTGCTGTTTTACGTGACCTCTGTAGCTTCTCATACGTGACCCGAACATGCGATTAGGAGTAAGGAGTGAGATTCGCAACCACGACTTCTTCAAGTCTGTCAACTTTGAGAAGCTGGAGAGGCGAGAAATCCCGCCTCCATTCAAGCCTAAGATAGTAAGTGCAGGCCTGGTAGGGTGCGTGTCCTGGGTCAAACGGACCTGTAGAAGAACCAATGAATGTACACGGTGGGAAGAGGGATTCGTTCCCAGATCTGGAAAGACATGCTCACGATGGTGATTCGTTCGTAGATCTGGAAAGACATGCTGGCAACGGTCAACTTTCTTCAAATATTTTACATACTCTTTTGGATGCAACGTTATGATGACCATTAAAATTATTTATAAGCTTGCCACATCTTGACTCTGTCAGTCCAAGCCATAATTTGTTTAAGAAGTGGCATGTGGGAATTGTCTCTCATAGAATAGGCCACAACTTAGGCAACTTGCACTATGCAGTGCAGTAAAAGTGCATTTAATACTAGTAAATAGCTGTGTACATGTAGTTCAGAACTTGTAAAGAGAAAATTGTGGAGGCTTTTTCCTATTCAAAGACAAATTTTCAATCTTTCTTTTTTATTTATTCCTGGCAAATGTCACACTGCCACATTTCAGGCCCATGTAATTTCTTCTAAAGTTGTTGTTACACCTCCCCACACCAGCAAATGTTTTGTACTCTTGTGAAAATGATAAGAAAAAGGTACGACCCCAAATGTTAAAAACTCTGCCGACTTTTTCTCTGGTGACTTCTCTTGTGTATTTCACCCACATTTGATCTCTTTATGCAATACCCGAACATATCATTTGATCTTCACTTCCAGAAATCTGCCTCCGACGCCAGCAACTTTGACCCAGAATTCACCATGGAGAAGGTGGCACTGTCCGTCATCGATCGGCAGGTCCTGGAAACCATCAACCAGAACCAATTCCGCGGCTTCTCCTTCACCAACCCCATGATGGAGCGGTAGTCAGCCAAACAGCAGCAACCACTGACTGCAATGGAGTTGGAAGTACACAGTGTGAGGCTAAGTGACAATAGTGTGCATACTTTTAGTAAGTTAGGGGTATTTACATGTAGGAGCCTTGTTAGTGGCTGGAAAAGAGACTAACACCATTAGTTGGTTGACTGTTATGTGGACATTTTGTTTGTACCAGGTTATTGTTTTATAATATCATTTAATCCAACAGTTGATGGAGTTAGTATTTCTTATCCAAGAGACTGGCGCTGGTTATTACATGTACTGAATCACTCTGTCATTTCTTGATCAGCTTACATGTACATGTATTATAATTGCGTTTTCATCTTTTATAACATACCAGTAAAACTCCATTTACCCTCAGATGCCAACAACGACAATGTGAAAGTCTCACTTCCAAGATTTGTATTTTTCAACACAAATTTTGATATTTTCAGTGGGCAGTTGAGTCTCGTCGCATCATAAAGTTTAAGCCTGTAAGAAGGAACATGTGTTCAAATGGATACTTAGTGAACAATTCATTGTGGATTTGTGTGGGCAATGGCAATGCATTCCAATTAATGCAATCAGAGGTAGTTTGTATTTTCTGTGTGATGATAATATTGTACTTAATTGAGGCAAGTCTATCATTCTAGTTGTTTAGTTTCTGTGCATCAGTTATTTACAATCATGCTTTTGTCAGATACCAAATTTGGTTCTTTTCATTATTATCTGCTCTTTCTTTATCCATGTATACTTAAAGTTCATCATTTGTTAACATGTCATTTTGTGTATATATATGCGTATTTTATGTTTTACCCAGTATTACTGTTATGTTACATATACAGGTATATTTTGTATTTCTGGCAATGTGTGTTTTTTTTTTCACCACTCTTAATATGAGTACATTCATTTTTCTGTTTTAACACAGTGTACCATCTCTATTAAAGATTCTTTAACCCCGGGTGTGTACACTTTTTTAACTGACTTTATATCACAGGCTGGTACATATGTACTGATATGTTGGCTCCGTAGTCATGCCATCTGTGTATACTTTGAATGCTGGCTTACGATTTTAAATTTGGTGCAGACATTTCCCAAGTGATTCCACTACAGTGAGGGTGCTTGTAGACTCTATTCAAGTCTGGCTTCCATACCTTACATGTATACCAGCTGGATCCATATGTGTAGTTCACGTTAAGGGGCCATGCAAAAGTACTAGGTTTAGAGCATTGTAGATGTTATGAATGTTGAGAATACAGGCTGTTATTGGTTTAGCCATGGACCAATCACACATACAGGGCGAACAGGGGTGCTTTCAATAGAGCAATGCTTGCGCAATGATGGAAGCACTGATATTGTAGGTCCTATAGAGGCTATGCATGGCAGCCATCTTTCCAGTCAGTGCTTTTGTCATGGGGGATATGCACAGACGGTCTACTCATGTGTATCCCTATGGAATATAAATATTGACGGGGAAGATGGCTGATGGCATAACCTCTGTACTGATTATTGAATGAAAGTGTGCCAGATGTGTATAAGCAAAAACAAAACTGCCACTACAAATGGAATAAACAAAATGCGCATTTAATTATACGCCATTTTTCATAATGGTTTGCATCCTGTGCATGCCACCTCCAAGGTAGTAGTACCTGATGTACTGTTCATTTTGCCCATCCTTAGTGTTCAAGAGTGGGTGGGTGACCAACACAGAGGCAGGGGGGGGCTTCTCTTTGTCCCATAGTTTTCATCAAATGCATTTTTCAGGACATTCCTTGGAGGCGATGCCCATCTGATTTATTTGCTTTTGAAAGCATACACGTATGCTTAAGAATGAAGTATGTTATGCAGTCCAGGAAAGCTGCCTCATAATTTCCTAACTGGCCAGAATAACCACAGGTCTATGGTTAATGAAGTGGCCACATGCAGCTAGTGGGAAGTAGTGGCATAATTATTTCTTCCTTTTGTCAAACTTTGATCCAGATGGACAGGCCAGTAGAGCTTATTCTGCAATCCAACTCTAGGTCAGAAAGTGTTTCTCCTTTCGGTCTTTTTTTTCCACAGAGATCTGGATCGCGATCAGTGATCCCAAAGCTGGTTCACCTATCCAATAGAGGGATCCCAATACGATGCTTTTTGCGTCGATTTGCGCACTTCCGCTTTTGAAAACGAGGCTGTGTCAGTTTCAATTCTTAATACGATCAGACGATTGAAAGTAAGGAGTCAAGACACAAAATACATAAACGTATGTTAAATTCAGACTTTTCAGGCTGCAAATTTTTGTGGAAGAGTCTGTCAGGATGACTCGACACGTAAAATCAAAAAGGAAAAAATAACGACAATTTACCGCAAACTAACGTACCTGCGATGGCCGTGTATCTTGTGCAGTGGGTGTGGTTTAAACTGAAGTGGTGTCACACTTGAGAACGGGATACTGTATGTACTGTGTCGACTTCGTGGGCGCGTGCGATGTAGTTCAACACAGAGAGCCTCGGTTTCGATGCAGATATGCGCAGACGGCGCTAATGTGAAATCCCTCTATACGCAGGTTTTGGTGTCAGTGAACCAAGGTCGACTCACTGATCTCGATCTGGATCCACGTGAAACAAACAAGCCCTTCAAAGATATGCATCAGGTTACCACTTCAATTGCCTGTGAATTATTCTGGGGTTTGGTCATGAAAAATGTCATGGAAGTCATAGAAAATTGGGGTGAATAGGTATCCTGGAATCATGATGTCTAAGGAAAAAAGTCGTGGAAATCAAAATTATGCAAAGGTGGTTTTTGATTGACCACTTTTGCTATGGCAGTCTTCCAATTTGCAGTACCAAGAAGCTTCTCCAGGATCTGGAATCAGGTGTCTTGGAAAGTGTCATATTTTAGTCTTGAAAAGTCCTCACAAAGTCATTGAATTTTGTTTTCTGCTGAAACTGTTTATTCTACATGTGACTGAGTTTCTGCTTGGTTTTGAGGAGTCATATTTTCTGTTTTATGAAATTGGGTCTTGGACTTTAAAACTTCGAAATCAATCATTCCAGTTAACAATTGATAAAATTCATTCCCAAATGCATCAAATGCATGCTAACTCACAATAAAATGTTTATTCCGTAGCGAGTTTTAACCTAAATGGGGTAGCCTTTTTGTCGCTCAGTAGCATGTGGCCGGACTCATTTTTCTATCCAAAATAGGCATTAATATCGAGAATTACTTTAATGTTTTACCATAGTGACTGAACAATATGCTGTGCATAGTGAGTTCATATAAATAAGTAGTTTAAAATACGCAGTTATCTGTGATGTGACAAGTTTTCATCTGCAGTGCAACTTGCTTGCAGTAGTCTGCCTGCAACATGCAGACCTTGACAGGGTGGTGTTTTATCTTTAAAAATGACAAGAAAATGACTGAGAATTTTAGCTGTGATAGAAACATTTCAGTATTGCAATGTACATTGTAAATGTAACAAGGGTACACTTTGTATGCACTTGTTGAAAAGGGTGATGTTTGTGTGGAACCTTTGAGCCTCACTGTTGAAAAATGTCAGAACAAAATTTAAATTTCAACAATCTTGTGACCGTGTGTCCATATCTACTGCCATCAACAGATGAACCAACCAGCAAACACATGCTGCCTGTAAAAGAAAAGCTTCAGTCATCCATTTGCACAAAGTTCAAGGGTCAAACAACACAGGAAATGGGTGGAATATTATTGCACTACTTAGGAATAATTAAATTCCTTTTGGAGAGCAGTGCATGTGTCTCTTTCTTCCATTTGTGATCAGCGACCAAGGCAGTCCTAAAACTTGTCCCACACAGAGTTGGCTGGCTGTGAATATTCACTGCTGTGTGCATTGCATCAGTAGCCCGAGTCACAGAAATGGCAGATTTGGACCGAGTCTCACTTTTGGAGGGACTGTTCATAAGCGATGGCTAATGATCTAAATTAGATATGTAATTTTCCTCATCAGCTGTTGCAAACTATCAGCTGTTGTAGTAGGAATATACTCAATCATGTCAATACCAGCGACATATATATTTTTTTTTTCATATTCAAGGCTGTAATATTGATAAGGAAAAGGATATAAAAGGAACCGTGACCAGGAAAACTTAAAAGTTTATGTAAATATTAGCCAGATGTAAACATTGCATTATTGAAAATTCCTTGAGCTGGTCGATATTGATGAATGTCGTTAAAAATTGTAACAGTGAAAAAATCCTGTAAATACAGAATGAAGTTATTGCTTTACAAAGTTTTGTAAGGGCTGTATGCTGTATTAGCAACCACAAAAAAACATGTTTTATCAATTTCTATATTTATATTATCATGGCTTTGTACATGGTTAGGAACTGTTTTGTTGATTCTGTATATGTAGTGCTGTAAAGGAATAAATTAAGCTTTCTGTGGCTCTTCCAAAACTGAGAAATGTCAATATTACTGGTACAGGCAATAGCAGTTGAAACAGTGAAAATGCTAAGTTGTTTGGGCACAAGACTTGTACAAGTGGTTTGATATTTGAATTAGAGGAATTTGTTGCCAATTATGCTTGACACATACATGTTGGGATATACACTGTGAGTGCTTGATATAAGCAGAAAAAAATTGTTTTTCATTGAACAGTACGAAGCTTATTGTGAACCCTACCCAAATAATCATACTTTGTGCTTAAAACACACTGCAAATAGAAATATGTGTACTTACAGTTTTCCAGCACCAATTCATGCTTGCTGTACCCTACTTGTATACAGTGTATGTGCATGTATCCAATTGTTCCATATTGGCCGATTGTGCTTTGTGCACCAAACTGGCTCAAGACGGTACACTTCTTTGCCAAGTTATGGCTTAAAAAAAGGGCACACTCTTTAATCTTTACAAAATCTTTGCAAAAACTGCACGTACATGTAGGCTGATGGAAACAGTAATTTTAATGAACCTGGTAACTCCATTGCTTGGACAAAACGAAAGTCGAAAATGTTGCAACAGTAAAGCTACACTGTACTGGTACTTCCAGGTGTCAATCACACATCACCTTAAGATTGATCTTCGTGTATATCTAGCCTGTTGCAGAGTTTATGGTTTAAAAATGGTGTAGAAAGCTATTTTTGTAGTAGTCTAACACAGAAAACATTATGTACATGTATTATTGTTTGTGTACCAGTAGTTAGTAGCTGGGTTATGATCTCCAAACAGTGATAGCTGAATAACATCAATGCATTTCTTTGTGTATGCAGAAAGAACCGAAAATTGAAGATGTAATAAATGTTGTAGGATGTAAAGTCAAAACCACTGTGTATTGGGGTTGGATTTTGTTATTGTCTTCAGGAGTGCAAGGGGCAATTAGGTGTGCATAGGAATCAAACAGAACACCCACAGGTTTCAATTTTGGTGTGCTTATAGTTGAAACTTTATTCGGCTTTAGCAACTGAACTATTGTTTTATCACTTCCAAATTCATTTAAGGGGCCTTGATACATGTGCATCTTTATACCTTTCATACCACAAGAAACAAATCACACGTGCAATACATTCCACTAATGAAAATCTTGGCATAATATATTCCAGCGATACACACCTCAGCATGATAATTGCAGTGATAATCATCTTGGCTGGCATCTCTGATTTCCAAATCAATCTATTCTGGAGTACTTCAC